CGAAGCCTTCCGCCCTCACTGCTTCACGATCGCACACCTGGCCTCGCGTTCGCGTAGGCCAAACAGCCTCAGGCCCAGATCCTCTCTTCCTTCTACGCATTTGCGACTGCCCAATCGCGTTCGCGTAGGTCCATCAAGCCCTTCACCGCGTTCGCGTCTCCCCCATCGCGTTGGCGATGGGCAAAATCTAGCAGCCCCCAAAAGTCTCCTTTGCGAATGCATGAGTCCCTTTCGCGTTCGCGAAGAAGGAAACCAGATAGCAGCAACATCAGCAGCAAATCATTCCGTTTTGGTCCGAAACCACCCCGAAATACACCCGAGGCCCCCGGGACCCCGTCTAATCACCCAAACCAGTCCCATAACATAACACAAACTTTTGCGAGGCCTCAAATCACACCAAACAATATTGAAATCATAAATCACACCCTAATTCGAGCTTAATAAACTTTAGAACTTCAAACTTCCATATTCGATGCCGAAACCCATCAAATCACGTCCGATTGACCTAAAATTTTGCACACAAGTCACATTCGACATTATGGACCTACTCCAACTTTCGGAATCAGAATCTGATCCCGATATGAAAAAGTCCACTCCCGATCAAACTTTCCAAAAACCTTCAAATTTCCATTTTTTGCCAAATGACCCAGAAATGACCTACGGACCTCCCAATCCACTTTCGGACGCGCTCCCAATACCAAAATCACCATACAGAGCTATTCCCAGATTCGGAATCCCAAACAGACATTGATAACATTGAAATACACCTTAACCCAATTTTTATGAAGTTCTTCTAAGGTGCCAACTTCTACAATAGGCGTTGAAACGCTCCCGGACCATCCAAAACCCGATCCTTACATATACCCAAGTCCAAAATCATCATACGAACATGTTGGAACCTTCAAATACCGATTCCGAGGTCGTTACACTTTAGTCAATTCTTCCAACTTACAGCTTCCGAAATGAGAATTTTCTTTCTAAACCAACTCCGGATTTCCCGAAATTCAATTCCGACCACACGTACAAGTCATAATACCTGAAGTGAAGCTTCTCAGGGCCTCAAATCGCTGAATGACACGCTAAAGCTCAAAACGACCGGTCGGGTCGTTACATTTCTCCTTTCTTGCTTGGGCCTCTTCGAGCATGGACTCAGTGTAGGAAGGTGTCCCCGAAATCTCTATTATACTGGGCTCTTCCTTCGGAGCCGAGTCGGCATCCTGGGAGTCCCNTCATCCCTGAGCCGGAGGAGAGAGTCGGAGCCCGGTACCCGGGAGCTAGGGCTCCTCCTGGGCTTGCGGGCCACCCTCTTCTTTGGTTTCTTCACCTCGAAGCCCGGGGAGCCCGAAGGTTTTCTCTTCCTTTTCTTCTTTTCATCCATGGCAGCTCTGGGTTACCCCGCAACGGAGGATTCAATGGGAAAGGACACGTACTCGTCCCCTTCCAAAGGCCTTAGTTCGGTGGTCTTAGGCAAACCTACAACAACAGAGGGAAAGGAAAGTCAGTGTGTTGAAAGATAGAAGCATGGTATTAACTATTCTGAAAGAGGCCTTACCATGAGAACAAGTCTCCCACCGACCCTTTAAGAGCTCGCGCCATGCACGCTCGGAGTACGTCATCTGAGTACAGATGCCCTCGATCAATTTCTTTAGCTGGGACCGCATTCAGAACCCGAGCGAGTGACGACAGTTGCACAACCACAAGTATGAATGAGAAGAAATAAATTGAAGGAAAAGCAAATCTTTGACGCTTAAAGAGAAATTTCACTTACGGAATGCGTTTCACTTCTCAGGGAATGACATGTACTCGGGGGGAATCAAGTCTTTGGTCTTCACCCGAACGAAGCGTCCTTCCAGTCGCGGTCTCGGTCCTCGTCAATACTCGAAAAGGGGGCCTTGCTGGCCCGACGAGTAAGCTTGATCAGTCCTCCTCGGATAATTCGGGGATTGTATAATCGGAGTAGATGATTGATCGTGAACCGACGAGACTCGGTCTTGTTCACGAAGTAGCGAAGGAGGATCACGATCCTCCATAACGATGGGTGGATTTGCCCGAGGCACACCTCGTACCTCTTGCAAAAGTCTAGAATAATCGGGTCCACCGGGCCCAGTATGAAGGGGGTAAGTGTAAACACTTAAGTACCCCTCTACATGGGTAGTAATGGGGTCCTCGGGCCCGGTGATTACCACATCATTGCCTTCCCAATTGCAGTCCTTTCGAACTATGGGAAGAACGTTTTCAGTCACGAAGCATATGTACCTTGATACTCATTCACCCCGGTCCTATTTGCGTGAGAGTTTCTCGACCTTAAAGTCGTTTGCAATTTAGCAGCCCCCGAGAACGAACACTTTCAAGGGAGGCTCGAGGGCCGGTTCGTTAGCAGCCACCTCGGGAGAAGCCGTTTCGAGGGCAACTACTTCAGGAGCAACCGCCTCAGTACCGACGGCCAGTTGGGAAGATGAAGAGGCAACTTGTTGAGGAATAGATTTGGATGTTTTGGCCATTGTTATCTGGGCCGAGATATTCGTGCCCAACCGAATATCACGGTGTGAATTTCGGCCTGTATTGCCAGAAAATTAGTGATTAGTGAAAAGAAAGATTTTTACCTTTCTTAAAATTGTACATATGGTAGAATTCCCCAACTATATAAAGGGGAAGCTAATTATTCATTAGGCATACGGTAACACGCATATTAAGGCAATATACTTCTGTTCTCTCTGTTTCTAAAAGTTATTCAAGGTTCTTGTTTTGGTTCATAAGTTCTTTGTGAGTGCAAGCTCGGAACCTGGAACCGAAGGCAGGTTCCTTGTTAAGCCTTTAACCGAGCTCGGATTCACTATCACTATTGATTTGGCTATTTTCTACATCTTTTATTTGCTTTATCTAACGTCATTAACCACTTGTATTGAATTAATCCACATAGCTTTAAAACCGTGTATAAATTCAATTGTTATCCATTTTCAAGGGTAAACAAATAGATACAAATTTCTAATACCTACGACTATTATAATCTTTAGCACATCATCAAATTCTAGAAATATTATCGAAATGATATGATAATTGCACGAGAAATATATATTATTCTATACTAATATTTAAATAAATATTATATTCGTCGATATGGGTATACGTGTAAAGCACGTAACCTAAGACCAGTAGGATTATAAGAGTTTATGGAACTCCCTTTGTGTTTATGCTTTATTTAAATAAATTCTACAATGACCGTAATGGAGCTGTTTCGATAAGATCGGTCCACTTTGTAATAATCCACCTTGACTTTCCATTTAATAAATTCCTTTTTATCAGCAAAAAAGAAAAAATTCTTTTTGAGGTAGAGAAAAAGTTTGAAACATATTGACCGTATGCAATATATTTTCACAAAAAAATAGTACTCCGTATCATGAGATCATCCCTTTATTTCCCCTGCCCCAAGTCTCGATTAAGGTGATCAAGCACTTAGCATTAGGCTAACATAGGCATTTACAATTCTAAGAGGCATTACAACAACACTAAGCTCATTTCTATCCTTAATTTATATTTTCAATAAACTTGGACTATGTGCCCCTACTAAGTGGATTAAGAAAATTTCACTTAGGAATATTGTCATAAGGAATCCAGCCTGGACAAACCTGTCAATGGCTAACAAATAATTGCTGTTAGAAATAAAAACCAATAAAAAGAAAGGAAAATTTCATATAAGAACAATTAGGCTCCCTACTTTTTAATTTTATAGCCCATATTTTAATTTACAACCAACTAGCCCAAAAATAATAGGTTAAGATTCAACATTCAACTCCAATAGGTTCTAAAAATTACTATTTAATTTTTAAAAAGGATTGCCCAAGCTTTTAAGTTAATTTTCGAATCAGTAATTGTGACTCAAATATTAGTTCAACAAACCAAATTCATTTGGTGGTGAAAATTAGATTTTTAACAAGCTTAAATATGTGGGTTTAAATTTCGAATTTGATTTTGTGAGAAATTTGGAGTGGGTGTTATTGGACTTGTTAGAAATAGTATAAGGAGGTTGTATATAAAATTTGAAGTCATTTAATGGAGATTTGGACTGGTTTTGAACAAGAATTACAACTGAAAATCGTGAAAGAAATTCGTTTGCAGACGCTTGTATAAAGGTATATAAAAGTGTATAATAGTGTATAAGGTGTGTTTATACACTCATATACACTATTATACAAGATTATACATAATTATAAAAAGCTGACTTCGTCTTCTTCCTTGCATCTTGTCTGAAATTTAATCAAAATCTTGCTCAAATCTACTCCAAAACAATTCAAATTTAAATTTTGAACTCCTTTTGATATTTTCAATCAATTGGAACAACACCCAATCCAAACAACTAACAAACTCAAAAAATCCTATTTTCGGAATCAAAGCTTTGAATGGTCTTGAATGGTGGACTTCTACCCTTCAATTTTCTTACATTGCAACCAAGTGATACGGGGGGAGAAGCAATAATGGCGGACGGCCCCTTGAAGCATATGTAGAAAATGTGAGAAAAAAAGATAATGAAAGCAATGGTTGTGAGAACACATATTTAACTCCATAACTTTTAAAAGCAATAATTATAAGAATATAAATTTTGAATTTGCTAGTACTTTCAAAATATATATAATATGGATTAGATCGGGTAAAACTTAAAAACATAAGCCATTTATCTTTCTAGAAAGAAAGAAAGAAAGAAAAGAATCAAAAGAAAATTAGAAGAATATTAACTTTAGGGAAGCCACCTTATAATAAGTACAGGTAGGTTACTTACCAATCATACCTGTTTTATTTTTCCAACCATAGAATTTGACGGAGTCATAACAATAAAGGAAAAAATTAGACGTTGTCTTTCTGTTCAAAATACTTTCCTTTGATCGCCAGAAATCCCCAAACTGCAATTCTGGGGTTTCCAATTCCTTGAACTAGGGTTTCGTTTCTTTCTAAAGAGGAAGGCGAGCATTTCTTCTATCAAAAGGCTCGCCAAAAAAATTCCAACCATGAAATTCCTTAGAATTTCTTCTTTTCAACTATTACTGCTATTCGCCGTCGTCTACTTCCCCTTTACCGTCCGTTCAGATGAAATTAATGTTCTTCTTTTGCCTTCCGATCAAGTAAACCAAGACATTTGCCCCGCGCCGCCGTCTCCCCCCGAGTTCTGCCCCGTTAATTGCTTCCGACCCGACCCGGTCTGCGGCGTCAACGGCGTGACGTACTGGTGCGGCTGCCCCGACGCGCAATGTGCCGGCGTGCGTGTTGCTAAAACAGGGATGTGCGAGGTCGGAAACGGAGGTTCCGGTCCGGTTTCGGGCCAGGCCCTACTGTTGGTTCACATTGTTTGGCTTGTGTTACTTGGTTTCGTTGGACTCTTTGGGCTTCTATGATGGATCGGGTTTCTTTGTTGCTTCTGGACTTATATAGGTTTGATCTTCGTTGCTTGATTTAGGTTAGACTTGATATTATATTTTTTGTATAATAAACTTGTATCTTCTGTATGTATGAGGGGAATTTACGGCTAGTTGTTCTAAATATGGCCTTTTTTCTGTTGGATTAGTACAGTTCTTTGACCGATTTAGATATTTCTCATCCTTGCTTCTCTGACTTTTGAAATATCCATCTTAATTGCCTTAATAGTCCTGATATCACTAAATTTCTCATCCTTGCTTCACTAAATTCTACATAAGCCTGAAATGAACGCGTGATGTGTAGTAGTTATTGAATTTATTGTTTGTTGAAATACGGAAATGAGAGTAGGTGTTGGAATGAAATTGTCCCAACATAGGGGAATGATGTAGAGGATCAGAGGCGGATCCAGGATTTAGATTTTGTGGGTTCAACTTTAAGTTTTTTAGCATTGAACCCGTTGTATTTTTAAAGTTTTGGGTTTCGACCTACCATTTGTTGCAATTTTTATGAATTTTTACACATAAAATTATGCTCCGCGACGAAAGTACTGGGTTCAGATGAACTCGGTGGCCATACTCTACATCCGCCCTGGTAGAGGATTATATAGCTGAGCCCAACAGCTTTTGGGCAGTATTTGTTGTTGTATGGGAATAGGGGTATACATTATTAAGAAGGATATAGTGAATATGTGAGAAATTTGATCAAGAGATAGTTTGAATCACTTCTTGAGGTTATGATCGCTGTAGACGTGTCTTCTTGTATGGCAATAGGGATATACATTTTATTATTAAGAAGGAGATTGTGAATATGTGAGAAATTTGATCAAGAGATAGTTTGAGTCAATTCTTGAGGTTAAGACCGTCGTAGCCTTACATCTCTCTTTAAGTTCTTATGGCTGATAGGTCAGTTTGGATTTTAACCTCAGAGGAAAGCAACAGATATTGGCTTGCTAGGCTTCTAAAGAATCAGGCTGCCTTTATGCACCGCAATCTTCTGTTCTTTTGGATCAGCTCAATCTAAGATGTTCTTCTTTGCGGTCTTTAACTTCAATCTGGTGTTTGGCTGGGGAGATGTTTGATTAAATACTTTTTATTCAATTCAAAATCTAGAAAATGATTAATGGCCTGTTTGGTACAATGCATCGACCCCAAAATGGAGGTAATTTTGCTGCTTCGTTGCACTCGCATGTCTGCAATCTATATTTACTCTGCCCTTAATGTCATTTCGTTCTGTCACTACTTGGTTAGAATTGCCGTTCCTTGTAGGGAATAGTTGGGAGCAAAAGATAAAGTGAGCATTTTCACGAGCCCCCTTCTTCCTCACCTTCTAGGCTACTGCTTACTTCCCTCTTCCCTTGGTTTATCGTTCCCTTTTCTCTCCCCAGCCCGCACTCGTCCTCCAGCTGCTGCCTCTTACCATAACCCTAATAGCATTCTCTGGCCATGATCTCATTCCGCTCCCCAGTATTCTTTAAGTTATACCAACTGAGTCATAAAATTATTGTTACCCCACCCCCACCCCCCAACCCCCCAAAAAAAGGGGAGATCATGATATCTGAATGGAAAGACTATCATCGACAAATACATTCCCCTTGTGTGTGTGTGTTTTGAGGGGGGTGTAAGAGGAGTTAGGAATTGGGTGAGATTCAACTGTATTCTTGGTTACTAAGTTAAATGGAACTTGATGTCGTATCACGTTATAGAAACGATGCTAATATTTCCTAGCATATCTCAGTCCTGAGAGGTAATAGGCTGGAGAAGCTATTCGACTCCTACTATGTTTATAACATAGATCAGTCTTTGTTAAATCCTACTCTACAGATTGATAATGAAGGTCGATTTTCCTCCTAATAGAATTATTCAGATTACTCTTTTTCCAATCCTACTCTACATATTGATTATGAAAGTCGATTTTCTTCCTTACACTAGTAGTCACCAAGTATAAATTTTCGTCAAGAGTATTCATTTATTTATCAATTAAAAAGACATTCCTTAAAGGGCAGAAATAAGAAAGGCTGCTTTTTGTTGGTGCAGTAGCAGCATGCTCGGATTTTTTCTCTAAATTTAACTCCAAACGTTTCTAGATTTGTCATGTTCTTTTCTTTACTCACCCCACACCCCTCAGGCACAACTGAAGATTTCCAACATTCAATTCCAAATATGAAATTTTAAAAAAACACATTATATATGAGCAATTCTATTCTCGGGAACTTGTCTGCGCGCGATTCGACATTCACACTTGCTTTTTGATGGGGTCACATACGGAGGTCTCAATTTAACATAGAGTAATCCTGAAACCTGTGAATGGATATATTCATTGGAGCAGCTTTGACGATTGGGTGCCTACAGACACTCGTCTTGTGGTGGAGCATTTGGAGGTTATTTCAAGTATCCTTTCGCCCTAAGTAGCTCAAATCGTCATTTAATACACAATATTGAACATTGAAACTTCTGTCACTGTTTTTGAGTCTTAAAAGTTATACCAGTAAGCTGCATATTCTAGTCTTCCTCAAGATACTAGTAGAATTCAGACTGCAAATGCAGTAAAACACGCTTGTTCTATTAATTGGCCGTGTCAGTATTTAGGATGCAATTATTGCTACTGTCTTTGTGGCTTTTCGACCAAGTTCAACTGGATTCATTTGCAAAAACACAGCAATCTACTAGGTAGTTTTATTGTTGACAAGGCCAGCACTTCGTGGAGAGAATTAAAACAAAATCTACGTGCAAAGAAAGTACAAGTTCCACTTATTTTATAGAAGTTAAAAACTTGGAAATCAGAAGACAGATTCTTATGCAAAAGAACGTATGTTACCTTTGATGTTCTCCAAAAAAATAAACCTGTGGAATTGCTTCACCCTTCGAACTTCAAAGGAGAGTCAACTAGTATAATGCCCTTGACTTCAAGCAAGCAAGACATAATGGAGGGAACTAAAGCCAGGTAACTGTAAGTTTTTTACTATTTTCTTTTCTCCATTTTTCTACCTTCCGAAAAGTCTCATCCAGAACATAGCAGCCATTCTCAAAAACACAGTTATCGCCAAAATGATGCATGCAAGTGAGCTCTATGCCAAAAGAATAGGCACTCTTATCATTGCCATATTACCTACTCAGGAATTAGATGCATGTAATGCTAGATACTCCACAAAGCTAAGAAAATAGAAATGAGAACTTCTCCATTGACACTCAATCATCCTTTTTGTGGCTTTGCAAAGAGAAAACAGGGTCACCCAGATGATCCTCATCAGCAGATTTTGCAGTAAGAGAGCTGTCATCGCCAGTGGCTGCAGATGAATCACTCTGCCTGGTGGTTCTGGTCAACTTAGATTGAGAGATCCCAGGAAGTTCAGTTCCAGAATTCTTGCCCACTACGTTTTTATATATGCCAAGAGCTTGAGCCATCATGCTAGCAGGATCAGCAGCACTCGTAGGAAGTAACAGCGTTGTGCCCTTCAAAGTTGAGAAAGGCAAACAGAAACAATAAGAATGTGAGCAAATAACTTACTCCTGACAGTTGACACAAATATAATGTAACTATTGTGCTTCACCTCCTTTGCAATATTACTGAATGCTTGGATATACTGCTCCGCAATTCTCAAACTTGCTGCCTACAAACCAAATATTGAAAGCTGTAAGCATGACTACGATTGGCGAAGGTACAATAAAATTTATATGACAATCCAAGTTACTAAGTGGATTTCGTTAATTATGTCTCTTCAATTCTTGTTGCATGTTATGGAGAACACTTTGCTGTAAGTTGGTGCATTACAAGTATGAAAGCAGCCGGCTGTTCCACTTTCAGAACTGCCAGAAGAGAAGGGATAGGGTGGAAGAAGGAAGAAGGAAATAACCCATTGCTGGATCAGGACCAGCACTGCTGGTGTTCAAAGAACCTCACCTCTGCACCACCATGCTCTTTAAGGGTTTGTGACACCATTGCTATCCCTTTTGCTGTAGCTTGTGCCCTAGCGAGGATTGCTTCCGCTTCACCTGATTCAATCAATAAGAAAAGAAAATGAGTGAGGAGAACCAGTGAAAGCTGAGATTGAAAAGGGCATTAATGGACTAAAACGTTATCTGTAACTTGAAACACCTTGGCACCACATTAAGGCACCAAATACTGTAATGGACCATGATGAACACCATTTATAGTCTTTAAAACCAAAGAGAACACACACACATACCCTAACCCATCCACTAAACCTTATCCAACAGTCGCCGTGGCGGATAAAAAATCAGTTCCTTATAAAAATTCTAGCACTTCTTTTGAGAGTTTCACTGGAGCAAAACAACTCTACTTTTTCCTTGACCATGAACAAGGGGAGTTGAATCTCACTAAAGTACAAGGAAAATGTGAAGTTCTAAGTAAACAAACCTAGCGCTCTGTTGACCTGGTCCATTTTTGCAGCTTCTGAGGCAAGGATCACTGAACTCTTCCTTCCATCTGCAATGTTAATATTTGCCTGCCTTTCTCCTGTTATAGATGTCAAAAAATATCATCATAAAAAAATCCTGCATGTCAGATTGAAATACTTGAAATTCCAAAAAGTAGCAAGCTGATATTTTACATTGGCATGGTAATCATTTCGCTCATACAAGGCCTTACTAAGTTATCAGCCAAAAAGATTTACAGTAAGTAGACTACACATTTAGTAAGAACAGATTGACTGTTAATGTTAGCTGCCACAGATGGTAAAACTTTTCGATAGATCTATGTGCACATGTACGTAATAAGCTGGTCGTCCCTGATATCATAAGAATAGGGGATGGCCCTTCTGCTGCTTTGCAAACTAACCAACAGGAAGAGGATCTATTACCTTCTGACTCCAGAACTTGAGCCCTTTTTTTTCGTTCTGCTTCAGCCTGCATCTCCATAGCCGCTCTAACCCCACGAGGAGGAGATATATCCCCTGAAATAAGAAGGATAACAGACATATCCAGCAATGTAAAGCCACAACCATTTTTTGTAATGATGAAAA